ATTATTAGACATAGCAGAGGTAGAAATAATAGGGGTAGTAGTGGTTAAAGAATTAGTTTGTTGATAAGAAGAAAATTCTAATAATTCAATTTGTTGTTTTAAATTACGTTTTGTATTTTCAATTTGATCTGCTGACAACTAGCTTAGATGTTTAAATCTTGGGTCTAAAAAACTGGCAATACATCCTAATTTGTTAGGAATTTCCCAACGCTTATCTAAAGAACTTAGAATATTATTGCATACTATGATTATTTGAGAGCTTGAAATATTATTAATAGTGTTTTTTAAAAAATTTTTCAAGCAAAATAAACAAAATTAGTTCTTCTAATGCTACCCAATTATCCAAACTGGGTAATAACTTTTTTAATACTTCACCATTATTACGGGTAGTTCAATTAGAATCTAAAAGTAGTTTGTCTGCAAATACTGGAAGCGTACTATGAAAATAAACCAATCTTCCTAATAAAAAAAAGGTACTATTCCATTGTGTCTCCATATCAGATGAAATTGGATTCAAGACATTATTATCTGAAATATAAAACAATATGTATTAATAAAGATACTTAAATTATAATTTACTTATATTGATACATATCATTATAATTTATAATAATATTACCTGTTTGGTTTACTTCCTGAAATATCAATTTTAATAAGTCCCAGTATTTGTCATGATCGACAATAAAATTATTTAATTTTTTCATTTTATCGATTAAATCCTTAACACTTTTTAGTCCATCTTTAATTGCTAATTGCATAGTATGTGCCACACACCGAATGTGATTAGTACCTAATTGATGCATAGCTTTAACCATTGCAGAATCATTATCTGTTGTGTCCCATATAATTTTGATGCAAGATTCTATTTTTGAAATTCTTTACATAAGCAATCCTCAATACTATCTCCCAAATGCGGATATTTAAAAGTTTCAATTGTAAGTTATGCTTGTTTAATCTCAAAATTTGGTGTTGTCCAGTGTATTGTAATTCTAATATAAGGTTTGTGATCTTGGGTCCATAGATCCATAGTAAAGAAAAATGTATCAATAGTATTTTTTATTAATTCATCTAAATTTTTTTCTCCAATACTGACAAATTCGCACATTCTTTTATTTAATGTATTTTTACATGGAACCTGGTAATTTGAATTAAGTTTATAAACAAATTTATGAAACTTTAAATTATCAACCAAGTGAAAGGCCTGCATATCATCGATAAGCCAATCTAATAAATGATCTGTAATTTTTTGTATTTTTATTTGTTCTTGATTTATTTTTTGTGCTTCTATAGCTGGTTCAATCATTTCTCCTTCAATAATTTGATGCTTAATTCTTAGATGGTTGGCGATATTAGTAGTACTTGTTTTTTCTTTACAGGTCCAATCACACTGACTAAACGTTCTATTATCATTTTTAATCAATACTTCACATTTCTGAGTTCTTTTTGAAACAAATGACCAAACCCAACTTTCAGATCGTTTTGCTGGAATAACTTTCATTTATAGTATTGATGTTTGAACTTGCATTGAATTTTCCATTACAATTTTTAAAAATTTTTTTTTTTATTTTATTAAAATTTAACGAATTTTATAAAATTTAATATATATTATTTTTTTAAAAATAATTACATCATTATCTCATCATTATTTAATCATTATAAAGTATATAAAGACTTAATACTGTATTGGTTTTCTGAACAATAGTTTAATTAACCAATGACGATCAAATTACATAATTATTTAGCTGACCAACTAAGTCGATCAAGTGACAGCTAGATCAACTAAGCTGGTTGACCAAAGTCGACTATAAGCACTACACCAAACCCACATATATCTATTATAAATAGTTAAGAAATAATTGCTTACTTTTTCTTAAACAAATTACTACTGCAGAT